TTCACTTCACTTTAAGTCTAGCACTCTGAGGTGTAAAACAATTCTCTTTGACAACTCATCGAAGTTATATTACAATTAACGACACAAGCTGTTCCCGTTAGACAATGCATTCTCTTTTTAAGGTCGCGCTTGGACAATAGCCGCGAAACGGTTATCTTGCAACTTATGGCTACCGTTAGGCTAGCATTTCCTGAAATAGCATGGCCGAGTTACTTTGACACGAAGTATGTTAATTGTTCGTATTGAAAAGTGTATTTTCTTCTTAAGACTGCGTTTTCACAAAAGGTTCTAAAAAGTTATCTAAAAATTTGTACCGCGTTATTCATTAAATCTCTTAGATGTAATTTGGTTAACGATACTTCCGCATTTTTTGCCACGAGTGTTCGTGAAAATATTTAATTTAAAATATTTTGTAATTTTTAGAATGTTTTCACAACTATACCGAGTGTTTCGTCTTGTCGGCCACGTGAGCGTTTGATGCTGTCCTCGGGGCGTAAATCCGGGACCTCGCGATTTCCAATTAAATTCGCGAACACGTAGATAACGCGACGACCGTACGCCAACTTAATATTGTACGGCTGTTTTTCAAATGAATGTTGACCTGAGCTAAGCTGCTCTTCTGGTCGGGTGATTTCTGTTGAAACCCGTGCGCGATATTCTCTTGTTGAGGAATGACTGGTTGAAAATAGTGAATCAAGTCGACTGGTTAAAAAATGTGGAACCGAGTCGACTGATTGGAAGTAGTGAACCAAGTGCCACTCTTCGAGGATCGCAAAGCTCTCGAAGGTAGCGTCCGCATGCCTCCCTCGCAGAGTGGGAGTTTAACAAATTTGAGATTCTCGAATCAGAGAATCGTGTGGGAGGAGTAATGTTGGAAATTCTGAAATTACTTGAGTTTTCTCCGGAAAAAAACCCCAAAAAATGTAAAGGAGAGATTCCTCCAATGCCGATTGGTTAACTCCCTTGGACGTGCCAAATTTTTAGGTGCCGCCCTTTACTTCGTCCCTGAGTGTCCCAGGTGACTCGCACATGGGGTCGTCCGAGATCGACAAGAGTTGCCCGGGCACGGAAAATTCCAAGTACCACTGGGTAGTCGAACACTTGGGCGCCTTGGAGTCAACCTTTTTAAGGGTTTATTAGGGTTGGACCATTTGAGACCGGAAATTTAGCAAATCCAAGGGTTTTTTTGAGAATAGATGAGACCGTGAGCGTGAAGCAATATACGTCGCTCGGTTCGACGTTTAAGATAAATTGCTACGACCGCTGTAAAGCGATAAATAAACGCGAAAGAAAGTTGTTCTCGGCATTGGGGCTGACATCCTGAGAATTTGAGAAATCCGATTGTTAAACATATGGCTGAATCTAGTGTGTCAGGATGTATGTACGCAACACCGAGAGTCAAGTTGCCGTGTGATTTTACACGAATAAAAGATTGGTCAGGAAAGCTGCAATTGGGAGATTCTTCTCAGGAGGTTATGGCAAGCAGAGTAACTTACAATTAGTAAGAGAACAGAGTATATAAAGAGGTTATGGTAAGCACAGAAAACAACTCGTTCCTTGTAGTTATCTTGACTAAATGGTGAAATTACCGGTACTATAACCGCCTACCCAGGTTGTCCCAAAATGGTTACGATTACCACGATTGTGATTTTCCTGACCATCCTTTTTTTCCCGTGTAAGTATCCCATACATAAAATTTGCCCTGTAATCCTTACGGCAAGGGCAATTTCTGTCGCCGGTGCAAGTATAAATTGTATTGTTTCGACTGTACTAGTAACAATTGAATCGTAATAGTTAACATATAATCTTCGTGTCGTCTCCGACGATTGCACGTAGCTAGTACTGTGTGAAGCAAGAATAACGAATGTAAAAGCGCATCTCACGTTGTCCCTATTATAAGCGTTAGAGGCCTAGTTTTGTAATTGTAATTTCTTGGGGTGATACTTTCTGCTCTTACTCGCCTTGACATTTTAGAAGAATAATAACTCTGCAAAAATTGCTGTCCCTACAATTTTATATGGTTGTTATTAAACACGTCACGATTATGGTACTACCGATACGTCGTACTTTCTGTAACCACGTAAAGTCATCAGTGGAAATCGCTTTGACCCACAATACTTTCCACAACACTGCTAAGAGATACGAGGAATGATATATTCAGAAAATATGATATTTCAAATAAGTGATACAGAGTCAATATTGTTGGATCGTTGAAAAACTTAACAATTTATTTTAACGATCTGAGCTTATGTTCGAAGGTGTACAATTGAAGTCCGGTTCTTGAAGTACAATGTGTTCGATAACGCTGTTATCTCATATACTATGATTCCGTTAATCTAAAATTGACTTTCAATGGATGACTCACAAGGAAACATTCCCAAGTGTCCGCCCCAGATCTTATTGATTTCCATATATGTTGAAGAACACAAAAATCTAAGAGACACGTGTTTTTTTATATCTGTAATGGTCCACATTTAAGGGGTGAAACAGCCCCCCAAAGTTTGGCAAAAATTCAGTTTTTATAACAATTTTCGTAGAAGCAGTGGAGGGATTTCGACGAAAGTAAGTATAAACGTATTCCATATAAGGACGGTGCAAACACAATATTGTCCAGCAATGCTACACCCCCCCAAGTGGGTGAACTACCCTTCAGGCGACATTTTTCTTGTAATATCTAATAAACGAGCACTCCTACTTAAGTTCCACTTACACGATGTGATTGCTCATAAAAGATGAAGAATCCGTGTTTTTTGCTTTTTACCAATAAACATTTACACATCGGTTGTAAACAATGAATGTAGGTGGTATACGGGTATATTCCGAGTAGCTTTATTGGGTTATATCGTGACCATTTTACCTTTTCACCAAGGAGATTGTATTACTAGTTGGAAACGGGTGATGACTGCGTCATCGGATCTGTTGCGAAACTATTTTAGTCTCTTAAACTTTTTTTAAATTTATTTATAAATAATTGCATACTATGAAAACCAAGGACATCTTGAGGAATAAGCACGTTCACAAGATTTATGTACAATGAATTGGTCACGATATAATCCAATATAACTAGTCGAAATATACCCGTATACCACCTACATTCATTGTTTACAACCGATATGTAAATATTTATTGGCAAAAAGCAAAAAACACGTATTTCTTCATTTTTTGTGAGTAATCGCATCGCGTAAGTGGGACTTAAGTAGGAATGCTCGTTTATTAGATATTACAAGAAAAATGTCGCCTGAAGGGTAGTTCACCTCCTTGGGGGGGTGTAGCATTGGTGGACAATATTGTGTTTTCGCCGTCCTTATATGGAATACGTTTATACCAAGTTTCGTCGAAATCCCTCCATTGCTTCTACGAAAATTGTTATAAAAATCGAATTTTCCCCAAACTTTGGGGGGTTGTTTCACCCCTTAAATGTGGACCATTGCAGATATAAAGAAAAACACGTGTCTCTTAGATTTTTGTGTTCTTCAACATATATGAAAATCAATAAGATCGGGGGTGGACACTTGGGAATGTTTCCTTGTTAGTGCGCAACCTGGACACGCGATTGTACCGCAAATTCACATCGACAAGTTCTACTGACAATCAGTCTATGATTTTATTAGTATAATAAACTGTTATTGTCCTTTATTTAAACTTGTATGTGGGGGCAAATTCTAGAACTTTGAATTTACCCGCCAGGAACTCCATCTCAGCGCTCACTCTCGAAGAGCGCAAACAACAAGATGCAATAAGTATCTTTAGTACCGATCGAGAGGTACCGGAGCGGTCTTCATATGTCCGAAAAATAGTTATTTTTTCATAGACTTTGATATCATCATGGTCAGTGCTACTGCTTCCTACGCGTGAGTCCGGAGTTCAAATCCCGACAATTGCAAAAAAAATGTTCGGTGTCAAAAACAGCAGGACTCGTCTGCATGTGTGTACCGAACAAGTTCTCTAACAGACTACATCTTACATACATTCAATAAACATTTATATCCGGTTAATTTACGGATATTCCACGTTGCACAGTGCCTGGGTACTGTCTAGTATAAATAAAAAACAGTTTTTTTGGAAAAATGAAATTTGCGAGCATCGCGTTCTTCTTTAGTGCCTTCATAATCAGGTACTGAAGTTTCAAATGATTCGGTCCACCCAGTTTGGATAAAATTGTATAAATATTTTGACGTTTTGATCCGACGTGTGATCCTTTCATATCACCTTAATGCCAGTTCTTTTTTGGTATTAGAGTTTATTACGTGTTTAATTTTCAGTTGACTTGAGAAATATTCTAAACGAGCGTTATAAATAAATATATTCGATATTATAAATTATTTAATGCGTTGAATTGCATTTCCTTTCCGTTTTAAATACAAGCAAAATTTGTGTTCAAATATTTGAGCTTCTTAATTTATACTATTATTTTCTTGATTATACCGGATTGTCCTATTATTTTAATCCGACTGTACTAGAATAAACAGAAATGAAGTTGGCAACACTGCGCAATACCCTTTTGCTTCATTGTGGTAAATACCTTCAGCTTTACCGACGAAGGTTACTCTACCAGTAACGTCCATTACCCCAAATTTTTGTTATCGTTACTAGAAAACTATAGTAAAAATGGAATTGTTAATTTTACGACATCCAAACAGGACAAAAATATAGTATCTGTTACTACATCGGCCGTTTAGAAAACAAGTTAATTTTACTAAATTTATTCATCAGGGCAGTAATTGAATTTAATTGCAACTCATTAATATATTCCATTCTTGCAACTTTTTATACTTTGGTACATTTTATGATTATTGTAACATGCATATTGTTGATGTTTTAGTTGACATAAATATTTTCTATTCTTGTGGTGAAAAAAAAGTTATTCTCAGCAACTAAAAAAAATTTCATTGACGACGTACTTCACTAAAGAAAATAGTAGTTTTATAGTAACAACTAGAAATTTGTTTCCGTGTAGACCGACAGTGAGAATTTCTTTTGACCCCTGGATTTGTTTGTTAACAGGAGTATCTGGAGCGGCAGAGCAAAGATGAGGTAGACACCCTAGTCGGCACCGAGACGCACGGTGCGACGCCGCTGGTGATGGCTTGCCGAAACGGACATTACGCCGTGGCGGAGTACCTCATCGAAAAATGCGGCGCCGACATCGAACAGCCCGGCTCGGGTTAGTGGAAAACATCAGCTAAGTTTCGCTTGGGCGAAACAGTTTTTAGCCCTTTGATTCTTCATGCAACAGTCGGAGATGGCCGCGAATGCTTTTTTTCAAGGCCTTTTTTAAGATAATACAAGACACCGAGAAATTTAATCAACATCGGAGCTACAAAGATTCTTTTAACTGATATATCGTTTGAAATAGTTCCCGACATTTATATCTATATCGACAGTTGTGTTGTACGGTGTATATTGGGTACTGTACGGAATGATGTTTGAGCATTCAAATTCAGTGCTCGGGTGTTTTGTAAAAAACGTGAATTTTGTTAACAATAAGTAATGACAGAGAACACGGAGGTTGAGATGCGTTCCGGGTGGATGATCGACATTGCGTTACTATGGGCTTGCGCCTGTCGTACCTGGGTCCGAAGGACCCCTACCGGCCCCCCCCATTTCTGGGGGATTATCGGCATCCATCTGCCTCCAGCGCCCCCACTACCAAGGGGGCCTGGAGGCCCATGACAGGCTTGGAAAAACCCGAATGCTCCGGACCGATCGACAAACCCTGAGGAGGCGCTAGCCGGGTTGGGGCCTCCGCGACGTACTCCCCGAAGGGAGTAACTCACTCAGCGCATTGTGTGCCACATAGAGCGCGACGTGTCAACACGTCGATGATGAAAACCAATCAGAACTGCAACGAAAGTGAGCAAGAGGTTAAGCGACATTCTTATTGGTTTTTCATTTTCAATGCGTTGACGCGTCGTACTTAGAGTTCGAAAATTCTCGGTAACATTAAATTGGAGAAGGGAACTGTGAAACATACCGTAAGTTACCGGGAACATTGAGAATTTAAGAGAACGTTAATTTTGTTATTTATACTTTAGGTTTCTTCGTTTAAATAACTTTTTTTTTCAATTAACTTCAAAGTTCAAGCTAAAGAGTAATAATTACTATTAGAAAATATTGATTATAGGGTCGTATTTACCTCCAGCTAAAAATATTCACGTATGTACAACTTCACGGAAAATTCCATTCGATTTGTTTCAAATGAACTGATATTTCATTCTGCGACGAAGCGAATGGGAGGTTTTGATTGGCTACGGAGAACGTACAACGGAAGTTCCCTTCTACGATGTTTCTCTATAGCTAATCGAACCCTCTCGTTCGCTGTGTTGTAAAATTCAAATTCTCATAATTTCTCGATAAAAACGGCTTTGGAGAAATTACCGATAAGTTACCGGGAATTTCTCTTCGTTTCTGACGTAACTTACTGGATTTAGAACTCTAGTCGTACTCGGTGTGATCGTCGATCGTTGCAGCGCTGAGCGCCGCAGTTCATTTTCATCCCGCGAGGGGCGCTATGGAATGTCGTACGAAAAGTCGTATCAAGGCTGACCTATCGCGTGAGTGCGAAAATGGTAGTCGGTGACTGGAGGGATCAGGGTTGGGTAAGTATAATACGTCAAGTAATATACGTGGTTTTCTACACGTATATTAGAACGTATAATACGTTCCTAGTTTTCTACGCAGGCACGAAGTATATTACCCCGAACTAAATGTGCAAAGCGCATGCGCAATATCGTCAATAACCAATGAGAGTCCACCTGTTTACCTCTAAGAGAGATTCTCATTGGCTATTAAGGAGATTGCGCTTTACGCATCCACAAATCCGCGCACATTCGAAATCAGCCTTGGAAATTTGAAATGTATGCATATGTGTGCATTTGATATTTGTTTATAACGACTACTTGACGTCGTAAGATTCGTAACCAATATTTGTGTATCAAAATGTATAAAGGTAGAAGACCAAAAAGTAAATTATGGGATGAAACAAATGGACAAGATGGGTGTTTATAACCTAGCGGATACCGCATGCCCTACGTCTGTTTTGTCCACCATATTTGATACGTTTTCTCCTACTTTTCTATGTTTTCTACGATAAACTACTTGATTTACGTAATATACGTCAAAAACCTCGAAAATCGTGAAATTACCCAACCCTGAGAGGGATGATGATGAGGATATGAGAACAACGATTCTGAGAGTGCCGAAAACTTTGCCGTGCCATATCTTTACGAAGATAGCAGCAATCAGGGTCGGGTAAATTAAAAAAAATTCCTAATTTTTTGCTTGATTTTTTTAGTTGATTAAAAATCCATTTCTTTATCCGTAGCAATGAAGAAATTATATTTCTATTTCTCTCACTCCTGAAATCTCGATCCTTACTGTATAGAACTCTGTAGCGTCTCGCTCGAACTCAACGCACAGGGCACGTTTCTCACATCACTTAACGTTACAAGTTTCTCGCTCAAAAATGTATTTGGCTCGAGACTCTACTGAGTTTCTAAATTACTTGTTCCTCCGGAGGGAACAGAATGGTATACTCCATAAATTGTTTCAGTGGATTAATTATAAACAGATTGAAGTAAAATTCAACAAATCTCCGAGGTTCAAGATTTTTGATTTTCTAATCGACCAACGACGCCATCTGTCATGTTTAGTGGGAATTAAATGTTGAGTCTAAGAGCACTCGTTACCCATGAGATATACGAAAATTTCACTGAATTCGTTTATATAATTTTACTCGGTGTTCCGTGCACTATAGTGCAACGGATCTGGCAATAACTTTAACAACTTACACGAGTATTTTCGTTTAATATGAATTTTTATTTATATACGGATCATTGGACGGTAGTACAATTTCATTTCGACTCGAGCGAAGACTTGTTGTTGGAATCTTGATGTTTCTTTTCGCGTCGGTATCGGAGAAATTTCTCTTTTTGATGATGAACAAATTGTAACTTAGCGATAAAAATCCAAGAATAAGGAGACCTCCGAGAAAGTTTTGGGAGGGCAGAATTTTAGAGAGATTACCGAGGATAAGAAATTACTTAACATTGTACATAATAAAAAATGACGATTATTAAACTTAAATGTAATTTGCAGTAATAACAAAACTAGTGAAGGAATGAAAGTTCGTAAAAGAAAAAAGAATGATAAACTAATGTCAGATTATATAAGAAACAAATACTTCCCGACGTATGCACTTGGCATAGTGCTTTGATTTCAGTATTTTTTGTAGGTAAAAGCATAATGTGGATCTAAATACTTTTTTTTTTTTTCAAAATGGGGATTCGTAACGACTATGTACTTGGCGAGGTTTTTTTACACGGAAGTGGGGTATTTCACAAGTTTTTGTTTTCCTATAAAATATATCATTTTTGATATGCCATTGATAAGGCTAGCAAACGTCCAAGGCTGATATAGTTATCCACTCGTGATTAGTTCCAATGTTAAGCTCACAATTAAAAACATATTTGTGTGCTGAAAATGGTAAGAACAATATGTATTTAATACTTCGTTAAAAAAATGTCATATAATGTAAAATTTAAGCCGTTACTTTTCAAAGTAGATTTCACTTGAATTAAGAGAATCCCTTTTCTAAATATTCAACAAACTGTTCTTTGTGGAATTGTTATCAAATTTTGACCTGAATACTTTACGTACCTAAAAGTCTATTTCTAATCGGAAATGGATAGTCGATCGATGTTGATTCAATGTCAATCTTGTATCGAGTATATATTGTTGACTGGGTTACTTTGTAAACTTATGGTTTCCAATTTATTAATATATTTATCGATGCCTTTAGATTTCAGTCCATAAATTCGACACCGCACATGAAGAAGCACTTAGTAGTAAAGTTTCCGATGGAAAGGTGTTTAATCCGTTTTAATATTTGCTGACCTGGTAGAATAAAATAGGGAAAAGATTCAACAGGTTTGTGGTTTTTATGTGAATGAGCTTTAATTTTTTTCTCGTGAACAAATACATATGTAAAAAAATAAATATTCTATTGACATCGATTAGAAGACTTATACTTTGAAATCGAACGACCCAGCTTTTATAGAATTTTTTATATTAGGAATGGAACATTATATCCAGTATGCTACTTTGCTCTTCTTTCAGCTACCATATTTAATACAACATACAGGGACACCACGTGCTTGACACTTCATTCAGGCTTATATAGCGTTAGAGTGAATTCAGAGTGTTCTATTATTGATTGGGATGTTTATAAAATTGTACCTGAAGTAACGTCTAATTTTTGTTAAGTGTTAATAGCACTTTGCTTCTATTTTTAAAGTATTTTAACAGTAATTTTATTAAATCTTCTTAACATTAACAAACATTGTATGTTATTTTAGGTTTCTAATATTGCACTGGTTCATTCTTTAAACACCGCAGACACTTATTGAACATTCAAACACTCTCTAATGTCTCCTGTCCCTGAATGTGTTGCCGAACGCATGATGTTCCTGCACATTGTTTTAGTTTTGGTAACCGTAAGAAGAATAAAGTAATACACTACATACTATGGCGGATGCAGAAGTTGCTGTATAAGCTGAATCGATTGTTTAAAGGTTACAAGCCTTCTGAACAATGTCAACAGAAAATTGTACATAATTTTAAATGATATAAGTAATTAATAGACAAAAACCTCGAACCTGTTTAATCTCTTTCAAGTATTTCATTCCACCAATGCAGTAAACATTAAGATTTTCCTTTGAAACCCTACCATCAGTAGTTCCTCTACGTGCGGCCCTGAATCTTTGGACTGAAATGTAAAGATATTCGTAAACGTGTAAATAAATTGAATTTAGGATAAATTTTTTGTCACTATTATCAATATTGAATAGTCGATACATGATTAACATTGAACTAACATCTATCGACTGTCTGGATCTAATTAGAACTAGACTTTTAACTACTTACGGCTTGAATATTTAAGTCAACATTTTATTATAACAACATAATTAACCATAAATATCATTTTGTCAAATGATTAAACAGGATTCTTAGTTTTCTCTGTCGTGAAATGTTTTATCTGAAAAGTGACAGATCTTAACTTCTGTCTGCTTAGATCTTTATAATATTACGATATCGTTATAACATTAATTTAATTAATACAATCTGAATTGTTGTTCCTACCCTATTTTCACAACAAAACTATTT